CACACACACACACGTACACACACACACATGTACACACACCTTGATTTGACTCGAGAGACAAAGAGCTTCTTCAGGACTGAGTTCCACAACAATGGGTTCACTGAGTCTCTCAGAAAAGATTCTGCTCAGGAAGACGTGCGGTTGATAGAGAATATCACGGGCTGCAGGCGGAACAAATTGAAAAAGCAGCGTTCCAACTAGAGCCTGACCGATATCGATATCGTTTGGGGCATGATGACGATATGTCTGCTGATAAATATCAGATCATATCAGCAAACACAAACTCAGACACTGATTCGTCTGCGAAAGTCTCATATCGGCGATAAATTCTCTGACGAGTTTAAAACCCGGAGTCTTTAATTTATTGTGATATAAACTAAATCATTGTGGAAGCTGGAGCCAACGAACTGACAAGTGAAATAGTGAAAGTATCACTGGGATGTTGTCAGGACTGCTTGTTGGAGGAAATCCCAAACAGCAGTAAAACACTGTATAAATGATCTTTTATGACTCGATTCAAACTCTACATTTCATATGTTCATTGTAAAACACATCGACTGTGGTGCGCGCGGTGTAAACTGTTTACGTCAGCTCCGTTGCCTTTTCCCGAGGTTACGTTTGAGTCCTAATTGAAACTGAACGGAGACGGGAAGCATTTGGACGCCGTGGCACAGAAATCCTCTGCGCCTCCGTAACAGCATCCGATTTCCACCACATCTGTCTGCCATTTTTAGACGAACCACAAGGTAACAGACAGACAGATTGGAGTCATTACTGGAGGCGATGGGAGGGAAATGAAAGGCTCGGAGAACAGGGAACAGCTTTCTCTAGCTTTTCCTCTCTGTTTTTTTCTGATGCTGCAGATGAAGAGCCAGCCCTGAAACCACAGACTCACACTGGAGACAAAGTCCTACTCATCCCAAACCACTGACCGACACTGAGCGCTGGTGATAAATGAGACAACATTTCTTATTATCCGCCAGACCCGCAAAGATGTGACATGGACCTGTTTCCTCCTCTTTGTGGACAAGAGGACTTCCAGATGAACCCCGTTCAACTCCAGGACCTCAAGAGAAGAAGCAGTGAACTTAACTCTCACGGTTCAGAACAATAATCTTTAGTTCCCACCGTTTGGGGAGGGTCTCTCCGCAGGTTCGGCCTGTACGTCTGGTGGCGTTGCGCAGATTGCGGTGTAGTGGTAGCTCCCAGCCAAGTCCTCCTTACTTTGGCAGTCCGTGTTGTAGGAGAGGCTGTGGGTGTCGTCCCCGTTGAAGAAGGAGCTCCCCTGGGCAGTGACGTAGGTGGGATCCTGTGTGGCGGTGCCGCTCTCCAGAGTGGGACTGCTGCTGATGCTCACATCCGCGTCGCCGTCCTACAGCGATACAGAGAGAATAAGTGTGAGGGTGAGATTGTGTCTTTAAACTATTTGGGGTTTTGATTTCAGCAAAAAACAAAGAGAAAAGACCTTGGCACTCTGGGCGACATCGAGGTGATCGTCCTCGCTCTCGGGCCTTGGAGGGCGATCGATGGGCGTACTGCTGTAGGGTGTGGATTGTCCAGCCAGCTGGACGACATGATCGCTCCCACATTCAGGACAAATATTACCCGGTCCTGAAAAACAAGAAGCAGAGGAAGTGATTTATAAACAGCTCAATATTGGTGATACAAATTAGATTCAAGCTGTTTTTAGACGTGAGCTTGGATCTCTCGTTTCCAAATCCAGACTTCAGCTCATATCTGTTCCACCTCTCGTGTGAGTTTTTTTTTAAAGCATGTTTTTTAAAAAAGGAACTTTTATTCTCTTTTCTCATGGAAAAAGATTCTTAGTAGATGTCAGGGCTTTATTCTAAACGATATATTCAACTGAATGTTACATCCATCCACAAGCGTGACGACAGCTGATCGATTCTGACAAGTCAATGACCTCAAACACAGAAAACATGTCTGTTTTCATTCCTAACAAGCTTCACGTGAACATGACTCTTGTTTTTCTTTCTACGGGGCGTGTATTTCTGTAACCTACAGACAAACAGGGTCTGAGTTCAGACACGTGCTAATGAAAAAGGTATTTGTTCCTGAAATTGCAGTAGAATACCAGACTAACAAAGGAGCAGTGCTCCTCAAAACATCTGCCGAACAAAGCCTGCGCACGCTCTGTGCGTGTTCGGGCTCGTCTTAATGTCGGGTTTGGACGAGCTGCAGGGAGGCGGCTGCTGGAGCTGAAGGGTATTATCTGTCTCCTGCTGATTATAGAGATGGGAACTGAGCAGAATGGGCAGCTCGGCAATAAAAGGCCGGGAGATAACTCCTGGGACGCTGCGCTTGAGTCCATCTGAGAGCACAGTTCTGTTTTGGGAACATTCTCAGCCCAGTGCAGACGACCAATGGGAACGCTCCGAGAGCTTTGACGTCCAGTGATAAACAACCTTCTCTCTGAAATGTTTGACCTTCTTCTGAGTCTTATCTTCAGTTTTCAACCACGAAACCAGAAAGATATCAAGAATGTAAAGTGATGGTTTCGAAAGCTTCATTTTTGTCTCGGGGTTGTGAAGTGACTCATCTGAAATTGTGTGACTCACTTTGAGGGCTGAGTCACTGAAGAGTCAAGGCTGTTGTGGGTGTTTGTGGCAGATTCTCAGATATCCAGAGATGACAGATTGATATCATCATGTTCACTGTGAATGTGATTGTTTTAACTTGAGGATGCTTTTGACACCTCGTCAGGGACGTCAGAGGCATAAACATCAGATAAATTACATTTATAAAAGGAAACATGGAGTGATAAATAAAAAGAAATGTCCTCTCACCTTCGCCGTCATCATCACCATCTGCCTCCGTCGGCTCCTCCCCGTCCCGTTCGTCCCCGCCCTTCGGTGTCATCCGCCTCGCTCTCCCGCCGGCCTCCTCCTCGCTGCTGTCTCCTTGCAGCGTGAACTCTGACCTGCAGCGAAGGCACTGCATGGGAACGCAGCTGGGGCGGAGCTCGGACTCCCGTCGCTGGTTTTCCTCCGCCACGTGACACAGCACGTCGGTCAGAGCCTGGTCAGCAAAGAGGAAAGTGTTTGACAGTCAACAGCTCATCACCGACGGAGGCTCCGTCCTTTCAGAGAAAGACTAGAAGCTGTTGCAGCCACGACAAGTTCCTCAGAGTTGGAGGAGAACGTGGGTCGATGCATCACAGTAAATACGAGAGTTCAAGGTGTCTGCTGAACTCTGCTTCTTCAGCAATGTGAGTGTTTGTGAACACAAATCACAAGTCTCACCCTCTCACATCCTGGCACTGGCAGTCTGTGTTGTCTGTGTTGTCTGTGTGGTCTGTGTTGTCTGTGTTGTCTGGAGACAGGAACCGTACAGGACGTAAACACGCTAGAGAGAGAAACGGCTTCGAGCGGAGCCTGTGAGCTCGTCCAGCTTTCTGTTCTACAGGATTAAAGTCGGACTCATGTTGCTTGTGCGGCCCTGAATCCGAGGCCCTGATCCGACCTGGCATTTAACGCCCGTCTCCAGTGATCTAAACAGCTCCGACCACATTCAGAGGTGGTCTGTGGAACATGTGTCCACATTCTTTTGGATTGATTTTGTGAATTATTGACAGACCGCCTGCTTATCTGACAACCTCTGACCTCTACCGTTTCATAATGAGCGGTCGTGATGGGATGTTGTTACCGGGTCTGAACAGGACTGTGTGTGTGTGTGTGTGTGTGT